GAATATTGGCATTTTGCTAGGCCTGCTTTTACTTCATATTATACAATATATAAAGATAAATATTTAAACATCTAAATGTCTTAATATATAAAATTGTCTACATGTCCCAACCTTCTAACATATGGACTCAGAAATTAATTTTAAGAATGTCTAACATGATAGATGGATGGTGTGCAAATGCTGTAACAGAAGAGGAACAAGCTATACTGGATAAGACTGATATAGATTTGAATGTGGATTTAAATAATGACAAGTTGCAAGAAGGATATGGAAAAAGATGATATACTGGATATACAAATGAAACTGGTGGAGGTCTTGATATTTGAAAATAGAAGTATCAAATCAGAAGAGAGATTTAGATAACTTTCTTTTACTGGATTTACAAAAGAGATTTGTTAAAGTTTTGAAGGATTTACCAAGAGGAGACAAAGAGAAGATGGAAAAAAATCAAGTTCGAGGACATTATTTGAAGGGATTAAAAATCAAGATTTAAAGTACAGGGAAGGAATATAGAGTTGGCTTACTTAATCAAGGTTAAAATAGATAGGTAGTTATCTCTGGTAGCCCTTAATGGACTTTTGCTGAGTAGGAATGAATGACGAGGCTTTAAGATTTTGTTTATAATTAAGAGATGAGTTATGGGAAGAGAGCATTTGTTGTATTTTAAGAGATGGTGATGACTTGTTTACATTTTCTTTTCTTTTTTTTCTTTTCTGCACTTTCTATTTTTCTTTTTTTATATATTTTTTGTAGTTTGTATTAGTTTTTCTATTTTTTCTAATTGTAATCTTTAATAAAATTATTTTTAAAAAAAGAATTAATTTCTAATTTTCATGTTGAATTCAGGACCTCATGGTACAGTTTGCAAATGGTGTTCCCACAAACTTCAAAAGATAGTATCATAAGCAAATTGAATACAAACCCAAAACGTGCATACATTTCTTATCAGTTTTCAAATATGTACTGAGCTTTTTTTAGATTTTACAATTCTAATTCAAGTGTCTTCTTAATTTAAGGATGAATACCAAAACCATACAGGAAATGATTTAGATGGAAAAATTATAGCAAAAATTAAAAGTTCAACTGAGGAAGACACAGATATTCCCCTGTTTCAGGGTAGAGCAAGTACAGTTGAATTTCCTTTTCACAGAGGAATTGTTGAAATTGAGGTGAGTCTTCTTAAATAATCTTCAAATTAATAATTCTGAAATAATTCAGAAATCAGCAGTCGATTATGTTCACACTCATATCATTTTCTTAGCGTTTACTGAACAACAACAACAACCTAGTTTTTCCTATAATTTAGGAAACTTTACTAATGGACATGATTCTATCAAATTAAAAGTAATCCTTAACTTACAACCATTCGTTCAGTGACCGTTACAACTGATCCTTGGAGTTACAGCTGTCCCAGCACCCCCATGGTTATGTGATCACGATCTGGGCGCTTGGCAACCCATTCACACTTATGAATGGTTGCCAAGCACCCCGCGACCCACGCGATCATTTGTAACCTTCCCTGTCAGCTTCCTCAGAAAGTCAATGGGGAGGCCGGCAGGGAAGGTCACAAGTTGCGGGGGTAAGGGTTCCCATTCACATATCCTCCCCATGGTATGCACTCATATCATGCCAGCCACTCATGCACCCCCGCACACCCTCCCCGACCCATATTGTGCCTTTCATGCACCTCTGCACACTCCCTCACTCCCCCCACCTAGCAGCAGCCACTTACCTGCCTGCCAGCCTGGGACTTGCAACTTCCTGCCAGCTTCCCCACTGACTTTGGTTGTGGGAGGCCTTCAGGAAGTTACTTTGCCTAACAACCGTGGGATTCAGTTGATGACAGCAACCAGGATTACTGGGATTGCCATGGCTAAACATTGCAGTTGTAAAGGAAATTCCAGTCAGAAATATGGTTAGAAATTCCAGTTGGAAATACGGTCAGAAATTCCAGTCCCAATGGTCATCGTAAGTCAAGGACTACATGTAAGAACTTTTGAGTTCTCTTGAATATAATGAAACAAGTAAGCCCATTAAATGTATTGAAATCAGTTATACCTGAAATGTGGTTTTTAGAATGGAATGGAATGGAATGGAATAGAATAGAATAGAATAGAATAGAATAGAATAGAATAGCTTTATTGGCCAAGTATGATTAGACAAACAAGGAATTTGACTTCGGTGCAAAAAGCTGTCAGTGTATTTGCATAACATCAGGAAATAAAGAATAATAAAAATAATAATGTTATATACTAAAACTATGCAGTCAGAAGAGGAGAATTGGGGGAAGAATAATACTGCGGCTATTGACTAATATATATTCATTTTTAAAAGCTATTATCCAACATATATGCACATTTAACAGTGCATTATCAGTCATGTCTTAGCAATCATATCTTATCATACAGTGTCAATCAGTATGTCATGCTGCATTAATTAGGTGTTCAACAGAGCTATAGCATGAGGGAAAAAACTGTTCTGGTGTCTAGATGTTTTAACATTCAGTGCTCTGTAGCACCATCCTGAGGGAAGAAGTTGAAATAATTCATGTCCAGGATGAGAGGGATCTGCAGATATCTTCTCCGCCCTCCTTTTAACCCTCACAGTATACAGATCTTCTATAGAAGGCAAGCGGATTGCAGTTATTCTTTCTGCAGACTTAGCTATCCATTGGAGTCTGTATCTGTCCTATTCAGTTACGGAGTCAAACCAAACAGTTATAGAGGAACAGATAACAGACTCAATGGTTCTTCTATAAAACTGTACCAAAAACTCCTGAGGTAATTTAAACTTCCTAGGTTGATGCAGGAAGAACATCCCTTGTTGTGCCTTTTTGATGATGGTTCTGATGTTAAGTGTCCATTTCAGTCTTGGGAGATTATAGAACCCAAGAATTTGAAGACTCTGCTACTGATACTGGGCTGTCGAGTACAGTAAGGAGAGGGGAATTAGAAGGGTTCTTCCTAAAATCCACAATCATCTCCACTTTTGTTATATAATTAAGTCATACTTAGTCATTAAGTCATTCTTAGTATTTAAATTGGCAAACTTCCTATTAAGACTATCCTTGTAAACAAGAAATAATCTTTACCTCTTTGGAAAACATCTAATCCCTTGGGTGTTCTTGTCTGCTTCCACAGTTATAGCACTGTTGGGAGTTGCTGCTTTTCTTTTTGTACATACATCTGGCTCTCTGGACATTATCTCTGTGTTATTTTTAAATTGAGAGAAATAATAAATTCAACCTTATTGCTTAAAATGTGTTGTTAATAACAGGTAGCCCTTTTTTGGGAAAAAACATTTTGCAGTTAAGTTAGCATGGAACAAAGGTATACATATTTTTCTATACTAGTAAATGTACATTCATATTAGGTAAAGAATTCTTAAATATATAATACAGATCACACTGTTCTTTTTCAGGATCTTGTGCTAGCAGAAAATAGTCCAGGGAGAGATAGAACTGAGTATATTCTTGTATTTGAGCCAGTCATACCTGCTTTGAAAAGACATTTGGAACCTTATTATTTATCCTTTATGTTTTATAATGGTGAGTTTCAATGTTTCCAACTTTTTATTTTCTACAATTTATCTTTTCCTTCTATAATGGTTTAGAAACTATTTTCTCTCTTCTTTTGGTAACCATAATTAGTTAATTCATTGTGTGTCTGTTATTTAGGGAAAGAACTGAACTATTTTTTTCCTTCTATAGATTATGAGACACAACAGCAAATGGCAATACTTATAAAAGAGAGAGACAGACTTTCAGAGTCAGTAAATAGTTATAGAAGTGTGTTTGACACTAGTAATCAGCTTCTTGATGAAATAAAGAGTAAGTACTGTAAGGATGTTCTATTCATTTTCACATATTTTTGCAAGTTGAATAAGCCACATAATTCTCATGTAAATGATTTTCATGTTTCATCAGTGAGGCAATATTTTATTTTTTATGTACAGTTCTTTCACCTAATGTTTTTAGTAAGACAGAGAAGATATAAAGTTGATTGCAGCCTTACACATGCCCTGCCACCTGCAGAATTTCCACTGCTTGCAAAGATAGTACCACTCAGTTTTGGGACATATTACCTACCTCAAGCACAACCAAAGCCCACTTTTATCAAAAGCATGCTCACACAGTTATATGGAAGCTAGGATCACCTAGCAAGTCAAAATATTGTTGCCTGTATCCTACCCACTAGGAAATATATGCAATGTATTGACACATGCTCAGGATTTTTAAAGGCCAAAAACAATGTATGAAGCAGTATGTGGGTGTGGTGGAAGTAAGGAAACAAAGACATGGATTGATATTCTGAACTGTGAATTTGTGTAAATTACTTGAGAGCCAGTTTGGTGTAGTGGTTAAGGCATCAGGCTAGAAACTGGGAGATGGTGAGTTCTTGTCCTGCCTAGGCACAAAGCCACCTGGGTGACCTTGGGCCAGTCACTTTCTCTCAGCCCTAGGAAGGTGGCAATGGCAAACTACTTCTGAATAACCTTGCCAAGAAAACTGCAAGGACTTGTCCAGGCAGTCTCTGAGAATCAGACACAGTTGAATGGATTAAAAAAAATACTTGTATTATGTTTTGTTTGATTTATATTATTGCATGTCTAATTGCTTTGGCTTACTACCACTTCTATTTTGAGGTTTGCATAAAATTGCTTACTATGAAAGAAAATAGTGTGATACATATGCTTAGTTCTTTTTAATAATGCTTACAAACATTTTTTAAAAAATAGATAACATTCTGGACCAATTGAGGCTTCTGAGTGGCCTCCAAGAACTGCCCATGTAGAGTGTGTTGCAATAGTCAAGCCATGAGGTGACTAGGGCATGAGGGCCCCTGATCTAGGAAACAGTGTAACTGGTGCACCAGATGGAGTTTTGCAAAGGCCTGTTGGCCACAGCTGACACCTGCTCTTCAAGCAGGAGCTGCAAATCCAGGAAGACCTCCAGTTTGCATACCGGCATTGAAAGGGGAAGTGCTACCCCATCCAAGGTCAAAGATGGAATATCCCCAGATCTGGGTGGCCCAAACACCCAAAGCCACTTAGGGCTGAAACTGAGTTGGTTCTTTGTCATCCAAACCTGCATAGCTTCCAGGCACTGGGACAGAATATCTAGTAATAAGACAAAAGTTAAACAGAAAACTGCCTTTTTCATGCCAAATCAGAACTTCACTTTTTTACTGAAGTTATGGCAATAGCAAATCCACAAATATTCCATAGGTAACATATTAGAGAAGCCCTATTTTTTTCATCCTTCTTAATATACTTTACAAAAGAAGGATCTCTTATGAAGGAATACCATCAGAACTAGCTAATTCAGATACCATCTAGAATTAGCTAATTTATTGTCTTTAAATTTCAAATGATAATCAAGTATGGTGAATTTGGAGTTGGGTCAACTGAGGAGCCCACAGCTTGATCCACCAAACCAGGAAAAAGAATTATCAACCAATAATGTATAAAATAGAGTTTTAAAAACACCTATGGAATATTTCAGGAGTGTTCTTAGTGGGGCCATAAAAATTAATCAAAGCAATAGAGACATTGGCTATCTTTACAGTCAACAAAATAAAGTATCCTTCAGTGCCATGGTGTTCATTTCCCACATAAATTTGAGAACTGCTATTAAACACAATAGCTGCCCCATGTAATTTATTTGAGCGTCCACTAATATAGATATGACCAGTTCAGCCCATAGGCCTAAAAAAAAGTTATGGGGGGGCAGAATGTCTGCTTGTCACAATATAATTATATCTGGTTGTTATTTTTCCAGCTTCTTACAAATTTGCCCCTTAATCTAAATCTATTTACATTCCAGTGATTACTTTAAGTGCCATGCCTCCATGATATGCAAAATATTTCTCAAGGTCAATTTCCCAACATTACATACATCTCATACTGCAGCACATATTAAAGTAGCAAATAAAGAGAAAACATTTAAGAGATGAATTGGATCTAAACAAAAAAATAATAATATAAAAATGTGACCAAAAAGGAAGTACCCGCCCCAACTGTATTAACATTGAAAAAATAATAAAACTCAATTTTAAACCTTTGGTTTAAAAACCTTTTTGTAGTGACAGTTTTCAGCTGATGCTGCTTTCACTAAGCAATGAACTCAACTTCTAGCCCAACTTATTATGCTGATTTATTTTTCAGGCCAAGTACAGAAATCTGGAGAAAAGAAGTTACAGCTCAGGAATGAACTGAAAAGACATCAGATTGACATATCTCAGGCTAATGAAGTATGGCCTTAATTTTCATTCATTTTTAGCCATCAACATTTTCATGTAGTATATCTGAAGAGAGCATAGATTGCTTCTCCTTGTGTATAGACAGATGTGCTGACAAAGTGGCCTGCCTTTAATACATTATTTAATGTGAAAGAACAGTTTAATGTGAAGTTAACCTGAATATGGAAAGAACATACGTATTATTCATACTGTATTATCTCTGTTAGGTTCCATATTTGTTGGTACGTGATACAGGATCTGTAGACTTTTGGTATTCTAGTGCAGTGTTTTAAAATCAGACTGCTAATCCAAATGCGTGAGAGCCAGTTTGGTGTAATGGTTAAGGTACCAGGCTAGAAACCAGGAGACTATGAGTTCTAGTTCTGCCTTAGGCACAAAGCCAGCTGGGTGATCTTGGGCCAGTCACTCTCTCTCAGCCCTAAGAAGGAGGCAATGGCAAACCACTTCCAAAAAACCTTGCCAGGAAAACTGGAGGGATTTATCCAAGCAGTCACCAGGAGTTGACACTGACTTGAAGACACCCCCCGCCTCCAAATAATCAAAATATATACCCTATGTAAATGCATTTAAAAAGAATCCTCACAGTTTACATGGAATTTAGTTTCAGATAAGTGTATGTAAGACTGCAACTTTCATCATTCAGTGCTAATACTGTAATTTTCTCATATTCCAGGATGGAAAAATTCCTAGTTCCATTTAAGCATCATAAATAATACCTCATATAAATTGTTTTCATTTTGAGCTATTTGTGCCCCTTACACATTTTGGTTTTCTCCAATTTTTGTCTCTTTTTTGTTGTAATTCCTTTACCTGTGTGAACGTAACACTACATTTTCGATGTAAAACCAATCTCTCAGAGTAGTTCAAGAAGTAAAAGGGAAGTACATTCCCAGTCCCATGGCTGCCAGTTCACTGATAAAATCATAATGATCTTTACTGCTGTCCAGTGGATACCTGCCTAAGTAAGATCAAAAGTCATGAGAGCGTTAAAGTAATTGTGTGTTTGTAAATTGTTTATATGTGTTGTAAAGTACATTTCTATAATAACAAATAGTGCTATTCTTCTGTCTTAATTTTTAGGTGCAATATATTGATTCCTTAATAAAAGATAAGCAGGCTGACCAGGAAGAAATATTGAAACAACCTAGAAGAAAATGCACACTTGCCAATTACCCCAAAGGCAGTCAGGATATTTTGGGCAAGGTAAGTCTATTCTTAATTCTGTTTAGAAAAATTAGTATTTTTCGTTACAGTTTTTCTCCCCTTTCTATACAGTATATGTTTCTCTTACTTATTTTATCATACCCTCTGTTGTTGTTTCATTTGTATGAAATGAAGTACAGTGGTATCTCGGGTCACGAACTTAATTCATTCTGCGACTCTGGCCGCGACCCAAATTGGTCACGATCCAAATCAAATTTTCCCATGAGGTTCAATGTAAATACAGTTAATCCGTTCTGACCCCTTTGAATGTGGTCGCCAGCTGATTTTGGTCTCCAACCAAATCAAATCTTCCCATAAGGTTCAATGTAAATACGGTTAATCCATTCTGAACCATACAGTATGTATTTTTTTTTAAACCACAAAAATATGAAACAAAGTACAGTACAGTACAGTAC